GAATGGTTAATGGCTATAAAAATTTAGTAAGTTAAACAGAATGAACAATAAATATTTGATAGCACAACAAAGTGACTGTATCAAAACATTATCACACGTACCCTATAAATATATACAACCTTTATGTACCCATCATAATTAAAAATAAAAAAGTAAAAAAGCAGTATTATGAGCTGGGCATGGTGAAACACACCTGTAGTTCCAGCTACTTGGGTGGCTGAAGTAGAAGAATCGATTAAGCCCAGGAGTTTGAGGCCAGTGGGCAACACAGTGAGACTCCAACTCTTAAAAAAAAGGAAATAAAGAAAAGAAAAAGAAAAGAAATATAATGATAGTGCGATCATTAGAAGACTTCTAAGCATTAAAATACATTAAAGTAAGATAAATTATATCAGGGAAGTGTGTTGGAAATTTGAAATCAAGGATACAGAGGACCAGGCACAGTAGCTCATGCCTGCAATCCTAGCATTCTGGGAGGCCAAGGCCTCCCAGAGGATTGCTTGAGACCAGGAGTTCAAGACCAGCCTGAGCAAGAGCAAGGACCCCATCTCTACAAAAAATAGAAATATTAGCAGGGTGAGGTGGAGGGCGCCTATATAGTACCAGCCATTCAGGAGGCTGAGGCAGGAGAAAATCTTGAGCCCCAGGAGTTCAAGGTTGCAGTAACCTGTGATAAGGCCACTGCACTCCAGCCTGGGCAACAGAGGGAGACTCTGTTTAAAAAAAAAAAAAAAGATATAAAAACTTCACCTTTCAAATGTGAAGGAAGAGTTATTTATGTATTTTTTTAAATGGATGATGGTAAGTACCATATTGCTACAATATTTGGATTCCACTGGATACATCTGGAAGAGTGATATAACAGTTTTGTATAAAAAGACAATATTTATAATATATTAGAAATCACAGCTTTTACAAGTGTATAAACATGACATAGTTTAGATGTTACTTTTTAAGTGTACAAGGGGATATGAAGTTTCACAAAAAAAAAATATGAATAAAAAGATCTTAGTTTTATAAACATGGTTAGAAGACCTTGGACAAGTCAGTATCTTTGAAACTGAGTTTCCTAAACTGTAAAATGAGAATAATATTCACTCAACCTCAGGATTAAATTATATATACAATACATGATATGTGATTACATATTATAAATTATGCATGATATATACTTGTCTATTATATATAACATAAACTTACATTGTAAAACAATATAAATTGTACCATACATCACAGGAACCTCTATCAAGGAAATATTAAATTTATGAGGGACTGAAAAAATAATACCTCCTTTAATTTTAAGTCCTTTTACATGAACTGGACAAAGGAAGATATTGCATGACAAATCCCACTTGTAAGTTATGAAAACTTGATTTATTTCCAGGAGCTGAGGATTAAATAGAACATATAAATAACTAAATTCTTCATGTGTCCCAGTCTTTATAATTAAACTTAGCCAAATACTGGAGGGTATTACATAACTAGATTTGGGAACTAAAACATTACAATGTTTGATATAAAAATGAATAGGTGACTTAGATTTATAAGAAATTCTGTGAAGAGCCATCTTTACCCAGTTAGTCTTACCTTTTGAGGAAAGTAGGTTTGCAAATTCCTACCTTCATGGGGAACATTCGGCAACATAAATTATAAGGCCTGAAGCATGGTTATGAAACTAATAAGAATAACATATGTCCATTTCCTGGGTCTACTATACTCCATCTATATGGTTCTTTTTTTGTTTTTGTAGACAGAGTCTCACTGTGTTGCCTGGGCTAGAGTGCCGTGGCATCAGACTAGCTCACAGCAACCTCAAACTCCTGGGCTTAAGCATTCCTCCTGCAGCAGCCTCCAGAGTAGCTGGGACTACAGGCACATGCCACCATGCTTGGCTAACTTTTTTTCTAATTTTAGTTGTTTGGTTAATTTCTTTTTATTTATAGTAAAGATGGGGGTCTCGCTCTTGCTCAGACTGGTCTTGAACTCCTGAGCTTAAGCAATCCTCCCGCCTAGGCTTCCCAGAGTGCTAGGATTACAGGCAGGAGCCACGGTGCCCGGCCTACTCCATCTATATAATTCTTAGTAGTTCCATTCAAATGGTGCCAACTATATTCTCCAGGAAAACCAAGCATACTAAACACATCATATTCAAGCAAAACATAACTTTGCTAAGTGTATATTTTATAATCTAAATTGTTCATAATTCTACCAATAGGTTAAGTTTGATCACTTAGCAAAATGATTTGGTAAACAAGTTAATAAACTATGTATACCAAAATTGATTATATATAACTTTTTGTTAAAGTATCAAACTGCATCTGTGAAATTTCTGATATGCTCACTATTTCACAACTTTTTGCAATTGTTTTCCCAATATAATCTGCATATACAAAAATTCTGCTTATCTAGAAAAATTTGAAACTGATTAGGTTCATTAAGCCAAGATCAGTCTTCCAGCTGCCACAATGGCAATTTCAAAGATTGTTGCTTGTACATAATGTAAGAAAGATGTCATGATGGGTTTTATGAGACATACAATTACTGTGAAATTTGATTTTCAAAATAAGTGTTTAATACCAATTGAAAATGTAAATTATAAAACCACTCCAAACAAGAGAACTTATAATAGACATAAGGACATATAGACCAAATATATCAAAATAAAACATAGTGTTATGTACTGAATGTTTTCATGCCCCAAAAATTCATATTTGTTGAGGATACAAAGAAACCATCAGTGAACCAGGAAGGGTGCCCTCACCAAGAAGCAAATCTGTTGGCATCCTTATCTTGGACTCCCTAGACTCCAGAACTGTGAAAATAAATGTTTGTTGTTTAACCCCCTCAGTCTATAGTCTATATATAAACTTACATTGTAAAACAATATAAGTTGTACCATATATCACAGCAACCTCTGTTTTGTTATAGTATCCTGGAACTATGACAGAAATATCGTGACAATGCATAATTAGGAACTTAAATCATGTATGTATGTATGTTTAAATTAGGAACTTAACCCTTTGCATTTGGATTTCGAGTGTGACTCGACACAGCAAAAATTAAAGAGATTAAAATTACTCTTTGAATGTATCAATAATTTGAAATATAAAAAAAAAATCCAAATAAATAAATTTGTATGGAAAGAAACTCCAGTTTTTTATTCTACTGCCACATTTTGTACAATCTGGGGTATTTAAAAAATTAAATCCCGAGTAGAATAAAGGAATCGAGAAAAAAGCAAGCGAGTACAAAGGGTTAAAGCATGTATATATGTTTTCTTACTGCCAATCCAAACCCTACCTGTAACACTGCAAATGTGGTTCTACCTTTTACTTTAGCTGCCTGGCAGAAATATCCATTTGTTCTCATTCAGGCAGCACCACATTTTTGAAGGCCTGGCAGCCCAAAGTTACTAACTCCTTAACTATTACCACCCAAGTCATGCTATGTTGGCATTATAAGTTTATATATGTGCCCCACTCTATACTGGGGGCTCCAAAAGGCAGCAACTGTGTCCTGTTCATTGCTGAATCCCCAGAGCCTAATGGAGTGTCACATCCTGAAACCCTTGCCCTACATTCCCCTCGTCAATTTATTAAACCTGTCTCCATCTAACTAATCCCAGCTCTTTACTACTCTAGAGTTTGAAATCTCATAACCTTATCTACAACCAACATCTTGGAACTGGGTGCAGGTCATGTTATTTGTATTACAGAGTGTTATACTTCTATATACAATTGTTTAGTGAAAACACTGTAAAATAGTGGAAATGATGCTTATTAGAAAATCACATGGAAATAACAAGTAGTTAGACATAGGAGTCTGGAATTCAGGACTAGATGCATGAATTTGGGAGTTTGGGCATAGAGGTAGCATTTGAAGTGATGCAACTATGAATTAGGTCATTTAGGGATTGAGTGTAAGCAGAAGAATACAGGCACCCCAATGTTAAGAGATCAGAGCTTTAAAAAACAAAACAAAAAAATCTTGAAAGGACTGAGAAAGGGCAACTAGTCACAAAAGAAGAAAACCAGGAAACTATGTTGTCTGACAGCCAAATGAACAGAGTGATTCAAGAGTCATCCAGGTATGATATATTCTATTGATAGATCAAGTAGGAAAGTAAGATATTATATTTCTTTCCCAAAATAGCAAATCCTCCAAAATTGAAATAGAGAAAAACTGAAAGATACCAGTTGGTATTCACTTGCCAGTGATACAGTAAAACCAGAAGCTATAACAATATTATCTAATATAAATATTTTATTCATTTTCATTACTTGTATGCTATTCCAGAGCATCACGTCTTCCTTTTAATGTCCACATGAAACAATCTTTCAGAGAACACAGCAATTCTCCTGGGCAGCATTAATTTTAAATGAAACCCTATTAAGTTGTCTTACCAGCTGAGACAGCCCGAAACGACCAGTGTCTCCCATTCAGCTGCCATCCTTTCCTCAAAAACACAAGTCTGGCATAATTTTAAGAGTAAAGATGGTTTAAAGCGCATCCCATTTCCAAAATAGAATGGGCACAAGTGCCAACTTTCACTGCGGGCTTAGAGAAAGTTAGATCCGTGGACTGTGAGCTCCTGGAAGGGATAGGCTCACTTACCACAAAGTGACGCTCAATAAATACTTTTGACTTAACTTTGGAAGAGGTGCGTTTTACAACGGGGTAAAGGCGAACTCCAGGGCACTGCGCCCTCCCAACACTGTTGCATTCCCATGCCAATACCCCACGCCGAGATGGGATCGGCGAGCTTGTGGGCACCCGCCCGTTAAATCGCACCCAGGTAGGTAAGGGCCACGAGGGACGCTGCACAACCGCATTCCGAACCCTAAGGGCTCACCCGCCTCCGGAGAGGGGAAGAAGCGCGTCCGCCGGCCGCCTCAGAGTAAGCGTCCCCGCACACCCCTCGCCTCGCCACCGGACACTACCTGAGGCAGAGGGCTCCCTGCGCTATGGAAGGAGGACCCGGGAAGGAGCAGCGCTCTCACCGGCTGTCCTAGGTCTCGGAGTCGCAGACGCCACAGTGCTCTCAGGTGTTTCCCTACGGCCTGGGTGTGCGCACGCTCCCGCCTCGTCGCTTAGCAACCTGCGAAGCTGTCCTGTCCTCCCTGCACATCAATTTCCCCGCCCCTCCAGAGCGTGAATAGCTTTTTTAAAAAGATTTTGTTTCCGGGTCGATCCAGCTTTACGCAGCGGAAGGTCTCTTTACCTCCTACGTTTACCCTTGGGGGAGGATAAAGTCTCAGTAGCCCGCGTGTGGGTGGTGTCGCTAAGGAGTCGGTCTCTCCTCCCTCGACTACACAGGCATTCCCTCCCGCCAATTGCAGGGTGCCATCAGGCAAGACCTTTCCTCCCGAACCTAAACCATCCGTTTGCAATCGTCCTCCAATCAGAGCAGCTCGTCCTCCGGGACTATTTTGCAATCTCCGAAGAGTGCTGGGAGAGGGACGTGAGAAGACACTCTAATCTCGGGAAGTGTAGTTCGACACTTGAAGGAAAGGCTTTAGAGATTGGGCCAGAACCAGGGCATCGTAGACTACAGTTCCCAGAGGGCGTCGCGGTCGGCAGCGGAGCCTTTTCTAGCGGTTACCTGCGTTCGCCCTCCCCGAGCCTGTTCCTCTGTAGAGGTGACCTGACTCCTGGACGTTCCTTTTGCAGGTGCTGCAATCGTCCGCGCAGTTCTCAATCATGGTGAGTGTGGGCCGCGGACTCTTGCTCACCTCCGGCCTTCGCTCCCTTGTGTGGGGTTTCTTGCGCATGAGGGACTTTTGGGAGGCAGCTGTGCAAGGCGCTGTCCTTGGCGCCCCTTGCAAAACCCCGGCTCATCTTAAAGGGATTGTGGCAATAACCCAGTGATTAAGAAGGGGTTGATTTCCACCTGGGGAGAGGGGCTCTCAGAAGGAATCTGGAGAAGTCACTGACCTTGGAGAGGCACGATCTCAGTCCTGCTGCATGGCGGGGAGAATAAATACGAGACTGCGGGTTTTTTCCAAAGGACAATATGGGGTTTGGAAAGGACGATAGGGTTTGATGTGGAGGGGAGGGTTGGGTCCTAACCTCCTTTTCTCCTCATACGCCCACAGTGATTTTAAGGGCTTTTGTCACAAAGCCCTTGAAAGCAAATGGCCATTGACTGTAATGGTAGTATTTATCAGGTGCTCCAGATTACGATCTACGTTTTCAGGAGACGTGTTTCCGCCATATCTAATTTCACAGAATGTTCTTTAAAACCTGTCCATTGATCCCGGGACATGTTGAAGTGGTGGCATTACTAGCCAAATAACTACTGCATATATTGTTTACTGATCTGTATGTTATGAATTCCAGAAGCACTACTTGCAACTGTAACACAGTGTAACCATCTTGTTATGGAAGACCTGGATACCTGGATCTCCGTATCTTGTCTCTGCTAAAAGGGAGAGGGTGCTGAGGGAACTCTGACGTAGGAATAATCTGGGCACTATTTGAAGGTGACATTAGCCATCAGACTTAGAGAAATCACTTCATTACTTGTATTACAGTTGAGACTATTTTTCCTCCTCTATCTTCAAAATAGTAAAATGGATGGGGAGTATGGGGACATGTTTGAATGAATTGGAAATTTTCCACAACCTAAAAAGACATGCTTTCAAGGCAAGGACATTACGCCTTCTGCCTTTATAGGGATGACAATGGGGACAACTACTAATTTCCAGTAAGTGGTAAACCTAGGTTTCCTACTTATTTTTTCAGATAAACATAGTCATTGAAATTATAGTTTCAGTGGTTTATGTCATAATAATCTTAGCAAGAAAGCAAGGTAGTTGTTATCAGAGAACCTTGGACTTTATAATTTTAGAATAGGATGGGACCTTTTTAAAGATCATCTTAACAAACTCTCCCACTTCAAATCTTAAAATTGAGTTTATTTATACCCAGAGAGAATGAATATTACTTGCTCAAGGTCACATAACAGTTTGCCCCAAGAGTCTCACAGTCTTTCCATTTTGCCATATTGTGTCTTAATACTTACCAGGTCATTCTGAAAATTTATTTTTAGTAGCTGAGATTCTGGATGAACATACCAGTTCATACTGTGTGTACAAACTCAACTATTTTGTCAGCATGTAGATTACATGATGATTTTATTCCTTGTAATCCAAAATATTAGAATTCTAGAATTGGAAGGTAAGTTGGAGATTATTTTATCCACTCTTAAAATATACCTGGTGAGGTCAGATGATTTTCCCAAGATCACAGAGAGCTGCTGCGCCCCAGATTCTTGTGTTGTTTTTGCTACACAGCAGCCCAAGCCAGGCCTCACACTGGGAAGGTCACTGGGGTGCCAGATAACACAGAGAAAGTCCTTGAGGAATAATCCTTCTGTCAGTTTGCTAGAACTGACAGCAAACTCAGGTATGACTCAGAACCTCCCAACCTCAAGGAGAGTGTGTGAACAATCACTGAGTTAGAAAAAAGCCATCTCTTGTAAGCCAATTCAAAGCAATTTTTTAAAGGAGGGAGTGTTTTGCTTGTGTCCATAGGGAGTGACAGCAGAATAAACTGTATGTAGGAATCATAATGATACTACTTGTCTTTTTGTATTATAAAAATATATATAAATTAGAAAGTACAAAAGAAACACATGAGTTTGTCTGAAATAATATAGGGAACACTTAAATTCAGTCTTTACAATGGAGAAGTTAGCACATTTGCAAGGCAGAGTCTGCATCTGCAGGAGGGTTATTAGTGCCCTGCCAAGAGCAAAGACATTCCTTCTTTGGATCTTGGCTGACTGCCCAGATAGCTAAGCAAAGAATAGTAACCTGTGTTCGCACTGTAACATTGTGAAAAGTCAGCAGGACTCTCCCACCTCCTGCTTTTCAACTGCAATATTGCAAAAGAGCAGAAAGAACCAAATGTGCACTTTTCTTTCCCTTTTCATCATCAAACATTTGGACACTAAGCTTCATACTACCCTTCACAAGATGGAATTACCTACCTATGGAAATTTCCCCAGAAACACAGAGAGAAACTGCCAAGGTGGAATTAGTAGCTGTTCATTAGTTGGCCACAACCCCTTCACTAAGGACTGATACTGTGAACACATTTTTTAGTGGCTAAAATTAACTCTTAAAATTGACTGCATGATTCTAACCATCTACATGTGACTTTATGAGAAAGTAAGCTTTATGGTGATACTCAGTCTCCCCCATTTCTTATCCCAGCTTGCTGTATAATGTAGTATGTGTCTATATTTTTCTTTACCCTGACCTTCACTCATTCAACAAATATTTGTTGAACTCTGTGTGGGAGTCCAGATTTGAGTCAAAGGCAGACTGCTCTCAAGGGGGCCTCACAGCCTTGTAGAAAGTAACAGATATGTATTATAAATAGAAAACCACAGGCTACTAGAGTCCTTAGAGGAAAATGCTGTAGTGATAATTATAATACTTGCTACATACCGTTCTTTGTACTTTGTATGTTAACTCTCAATCCTTAAATCTACCCTATTTGTTAGGTAAGCTGCTATTTTTATCTCCATTTTGCCATGGAAAACCAGTCAGAGATTATGTAACTTGTCCAGGAGCATACAGTTAATGAGTTGTTGAACTGGGATTTGAACCCAGAAAGTGTGGCCCCTAGGGCTGTCTCTTCAATCTCTACTCTTTACTGCCTCTCTGGCCCTGTTTTAGAGAATTGGTTTATCCCTTTGATTCCTTCAGGTGGTTCACTAATGGATTCCCTGGCTCAAAACAGTACCAAGTGTAAGATAGGGATTCAGTGGTGTATTGTTTAATGAATGAATTAAATGAGAACAGTTCATCAGTTGATTTATAAGACAAAATCATTAGAACTAGAGACAAATAATTTTGCAAACTATAGCTGGAACTATTGTGGTCACTAAGTTTCCAACCTCAATACAAGTATATATGAATAAAATATCTTAAAATGTTTTTTTTACAGCGTGTTAGTTATCCTTCCAAACAGTTCTTACTGTCCAAACATTCCATCTTTGTGGTAGTAGTTTTTACAAGATCCAGCTATTCTTTAAAGCAAATATTTATGCAAATTATTTAAAGCAAATTATAACTATGTGCCAGGCATTGGTCTAAGCAGTTAGAATACTACAGTAAATAATAGACAAGAGCCCCTCACCTTAAGGAGTTTGCGTTTTAAAGGGAGAGGAGGGGATAATTTCTTCCTCTATTTCCTTTTCCTCACATACTCTACTTGGCCTCAAGGGAAGAGGGTAAAATGACAGAATGAAAAACATGTATAGGCCACTAAAGATTTTTCTATGAATATTAATGACTCGTAGTAATGACAGATCAGAACACAAATATTGCATAGTTTTATATATGATAGAATATAATCATGTACAATAACTTGTAGCGTTTTTATGAATCTAAGGCCTATTTTGGAACATAAACGTATCTTATTTAGATTGACTTATTTGGGAATTTATCATATTTTGTTTAAATTATTTAGAGAAAAGAAGGCCTGGGGGGAAAGATGGTGAAGAGAATGAGGAAAAACATGGAAGGTCAGGGAGAAACTCTCTATAGTTCCCCTCACCCCCATTCCCATCCTGGTCACATCTCTGTGAAGAAGAAACATACATAGTCTGCTATGATCGGATTTATTTCTCTATAACAGTTGACACTTCTTTTTTAGTTTTTTTTTTCCTTTGACTTCTGTGGATACCAAATTGCTGAATACTGCTGACCTTCAGAGCTTAGGGTTAGAAGGTTAAAAGGACACTTTGAGATCATCCATCCTCCTTTCATCCCATAGACATGACATTCATTTGAAAGAGAGAATTCTAAACAAACAAACAAAAAAAACTTCCATCCCTGGTCAATTCAGTGGGCCATTTCTCCATGCAAGTAGGGATCGAGGTGACACAGTGAACATTTACCCAGCATTGTTGGAGAAAGGAACAGTTCCCGCGGTTGAATTTTTCTGTCTAACTAAAATTACCCATTAAATTTCTAAACATTATTGTTTTGTGCTTTTTAATAGAAATTTCTATTTTTTAAATTCTTTAAGCCTAATTTAACCTTTTTTTAAGTGACTCATTGTTATACTTTGAATATCAGTTATTTTTGTCTGTGTGTCTGTATTTTGTTCAGGGTCTGTTAAAATCTATAGGACTGCTTCTCTATTATAACTATTGTGCTCTGTATTTATTCC